CAAGAAGGATGTAAAACACATTCTTAGTGATGTCAAAACGACAATTTAAGTGCTCTTAAAGGAGCCACATAGGCATACAAGTAGGAAGAATTTATAGCCAAAATAAGCGATATGAGATCATATTAGAGGAAGGCTTAAATAGTTTATAGAAACATTATTAGACCGTTGGTCTACATAAATGTTTAAGGGTATTGGTATGGTCGTATCATAATGAATGTGGAAAAGTCATTTAATAATTGGATTTTAGAAGCTCAAGATACATCAATTCTCTAGTGTGTGGACTAGATTGGAAGACAAATCATGAAACTGATGGCCATGTGTAATATGGAGGCTAAAACTTAGTCTACAACTCTTATCTCATCCATCAAAACAAATTGGGAGCGATCATACAAAACTCACTTTCTGTGAGAGTCGTTATTGCATCTGCAATGGTATTTGAAGCAAGAGGTGTTCACATGAGTTATAAGATAAATATTATTGCACAAAAATGCAAATGCAAGGGATTGGCAAATAACGGGCTTATCTTGTAAGAATGTTTATAAAGCCCTTCAAGCGCTCAACAGAGATCATGTTAACTTATGTGAAAATTATTTTACGATTGCAAAATATCGTAAAACATATTATCAAGTTATCATTCCAGTTTCCTTAATCAATATGTCTAGCATGAGACATGAAGAGAGCTCCCTCCAAATGAAAAAAAGGTGCTTCCACCTCGCTCAAGATGTCCCCTATACCTCCTAGAAATCAATGCATCAAATTGCAAGAGGTAGAAGTTTGATCTATCCATTATAACAGGTGTGGTGCACTTTGTCACAACAAGCCTATATGTAAAAGTAATGTTTATAATTTGTAAGGACATTTTCCCTTTTTACTTTGCTTCTTTTCTTTTTCTTTTTTGATCTAGTTTTTTTATCATTTCTTTTGCATTGGAGCACCCGACATGTGGCTTGTCTTCACTCAAAGCTCGTAAGAATTTTTGTAAAAGCATATGCTGATATATAAAGTAACTATTATTAAAAAAACGAGTTGTGCAATTAATGAATAAGCATGTTCCTTTTTTTATATATATAATATATCATGTATGCTTGAAATAGTTACTCTTTCCAGTTTTTGAAATATAGAAACTTTCCCTTTTTGACATAGTTACCCTTTCCCTTTTTTTTTGTCAAAAAAAACAGTTCAAATTTCACAAACTTATTATATTTAATATGTATAGATGAAATATTAATGATATAAATGTTCGATCTAGCGATGCGATACATGGTCCATGCAGGAGAACCACGGGACTCGTCTGCCTCATCCAAGCAAGGAGAAGAGTATGACACATTCTAAGCATCATCTAATTGTTTCGGTGCCTGCTTTATTGAATTGACATTGGTCACATATTATTCATTTACCTACACTTTTATGTTCTCATATTTTTTACGATGACTACTTATTCCGCTATTGGATTTCATTTCAAGAGAAAGATCATCTATCGATAAAGCCACTAAAGCCCTAGCATTGTGGAAGTTTGACGAGTGATAGATAAAACTGGTCTAAAAGACCGGATTGGGCTCATTGATGGACACTGGGTCTCCCGTATTGATAGCAGCCTGATGATGGCCATCATAGAGACATGATGTAAGGAGACTACTACTGAAGACCTTATTGTTGGAGAGATGGCACCAAATCTATACGATGTATGCTAGATACTGCGGATACTTGTGATAGGCGAGCCCATAACAGATATCAAGCCTAAAAACTACAGGCACTTCATCCAAGAGTATCTAAGATATATCCCTAAAGAGAGAACTAATGAGAATGAAGCATATTTTCTCCCTAAAAATGCTTAGTAAGAGTATCTAAGATATACCCTTTGAATCTTTTAAGGGCATTTTGGTCATTTTATTTTATTGAAAATATTTTTTTATACTTTTTGCTAGTGCGAGTTTTAATAGTGTAGAGATGTGACATTGTGATTGGAACAATCTTTACCCTCCGTTCAGAATGCAAGGTTGGATAAGGAGAAAGATAGAACTTCTATGCTGTAGGATAAGTATAGAAAGCTTACCCTTCTTTTACTTGATTGACCTATTTTGACTGCCGTATCTAAAAGATTGACACTTGCAATCTACCTCAATTGTTTTAAGATTTCAATGAGGTGAGAAGGTATGCGGGATGTTGTGGCCCTTGCTTTCCCTTATCAATTTTTATCCAAAATTGTGGATTGGGAGACGCTATATTTCAGTGGGTCAGCAAGCCTCTTGCAAGCAATTTTCATAATATTTAGAGTTTTATCATTTTTATCTTAGGTTTCTAACTATTTTTTGTGTATGTGTTGATGCAGTGCTAGTTCTATGAGCACTTTAGAGCTCTACATCCCAGCCCATATCAATACGAGAATGCCTAGAGCGTAGGATAAACCATGGCACCACAAAAGCCCACACAAAGAGCTCCATAATCTCACACCTGACCTAGTTAGTGGTGTGTTTGTATATTTGTAGTTTATTTGTTAATTATGTATTTAGGTAAGTTAAATGTTTATTGTGTCATGCTTTGTTCTATGAGGTAAGTTGGGAACCATACCAGAAGGAGCTCAGAAAAGGGGATTACGAAACGTTAGACCTTGCCTATATAGATACTGCGTTATGCCAAACATACCTAATTCATTTCTTGACGATAACAAAATATGGGTAAACTATTTAGTCATATATTTCATTATCTAACCCATGTTTTGATATGTATTCCACCAATTTATTCCATTCCATATTTGTCTTGTAATCATTATAGGGGTTTTGTTAGGCTACACCATTTGTGGTGTAGACTCTTAAAGTGCTCAACATTTTTAGACATTTAAATACCCTTGTCTTATAGTATAGTAACTTTTTGTGTAGAGGTATTTTAAGTAATTAGTCAATGGTAAACTAGAAATTCTTAATAGAAACAAAAACATTTATTAACAATAGTGGACAATGACATCACCGATATGGTGTGTGACATCACCAACAAAATGCATTAATTATTTTCAACTACTAATAAAATATCACCATTTTCTTATAAAAATATTCATTCTATCCTTCTAAATTAGCAAAAATTTTGTATTATAAATCAAAAGTATTTTAGTGTCAAAAAATGTTGAGCACTTTAAAGGTCTACACTATCAAATGGTGTAGCCTAACAAAACCTATTATATAATTATAAATATAATTGCAGCAACAGGCCTACAAAGAGATGCTTAAAGTTGTACTCAAAAGTCAAGTATTAGAGGGGAAATCTTGGTGCTATGTATTCACAATTGATTTAATACTAAAGAACACGCTAATGGAAAGAAGGGTGTCGAGGAACACAATTGATTTAATACTAAAGAACACGCTAATGGAAAGAAGGGTGTCGAGGAGACAGCGCGATGAACGAGACAACTACAAGGACAGTGGGGATAAGTGTTCAAGATGATAATGAGAGGAGAAAACCGACATGAGGTGCACGTCCCAGCAAAGCCTTCACAACCTGCCCAGCTGATTTTAATGCCGGTTTTACATGAGGAATCAAGGTAGAATTTAGGGAGGGTATAATTAGTTATCCAAATAAATTTATCACGCAAATGCGCTCTAGGGCATCTCGTATATAGTTTGATATGTACTTTGACTATGTAAAAATATCACACTTTTAAAGGTCTAAAGGATATTAAATCATTAGTTGGTTTTCTTTTATAGCCCGTCCAGCACTCCATGTGAAGCCTCTCTCCCTCCCTATGCCGTCTCTATCTCTCTATTGTCATTTCCATGGGCATGATCATGAAAGCCCTCAACCTCAATGTTTACCTCGACTTTAGTAGATTGTACTGATTTCACCAAGATTTTGAGATTAAGATGGTTAAGTTCAATACAACAAATGATACATATGCCTTCTTTTCTTATATATTTTTTGAATGCGTCAAACAGAAAGACAAAATTTCCAAGTAGGAAACAGATGGATCTTATCTTGGTAGCGAAATCTAATGAACGAGGTTGACGTAGCTTGATGCTCATATTTGATTTTAGTATTAACATTAGCCTTTCTTGCTTCGGGGTTTACTGCTTTTTCTCTAGCTAGGCTTCAAGAGCAAAAAGAAGTGCGCACGCTCGCGCACCCACTCACAAGATGTCGATTTTGGAGCTTTTGGACCCACTAAACGACTTTTAGAGCTGAAATCCAAGAAGCCCCTCTGACAAAAATTGTGCTGGACCAGCTTCTTGGACTCCAAAAGCCCACTGTCGGACTGGCTTCTGAAATCTAAGAAGCCTATCTGGTACATTTAAAGCCAAACCCAGCTTCTGGAATCAATGAATTCAGTCCGGTCCCAATTGTGTTGCACCTCCTTCTAGGACATTCATTTAGTGACAGTCTGGCACCAATCTTCTTAAGACAACTAGTGTCGGACTGGCTTTCAAACTCCAACAACTCAATCTGACACATGTAGTATGGGACCGACTTCTAGAATCCAGCAAGTCGATTTAAGAATAAGTGTGTGGGACCATATTGTTGGATTCTATAAGCTCCAATTTAGACCAAAAGCCAGTCCGGCGCAAAATATGTCGAACCGAGTTAGAGAGAAAACCGCCTCCAAGGACCCTTGTTGGGTTTAAAAGTGGGGGTATTTTTCACCGAAAAGATTTAACTTTTTTACTTGAGAATGCAACATGCAAGAGAAAACAATTTTGGGATTGGAGGCACGTCTAGAAAGGTGGTTCTAGGGGGTATCTAGAATTTCCCCAAGAAAAAAAGGCTACTTGGAAAAAATAAAATGATCCAACAATTTTGCACGATAGTGTTCTGACCAAAGTTTAAAGTAAAAGCACAAAAAAGAAATGCAGGTAATAAAAAAAAAAAGTTACATAGTTAAAAAAACACGTCACCCACAAGAAAATCAATACATTTTCTCTCTTTAACAGTTGTGTTAATTTATCAATACTCTAAACAATTAATAGAAAGACTTTCAGATAACTTTTGCGAGATTCACCAAAGTTCACACAAGGTGGGCAAAAATCAAATGCGCCTCTCAATTCCACAAAGAATAAAAAATCAGGGCCTGAGCTCAAACCACAATAAGCTACAGCCACTTGAGGCTGGCATAAGCAAGGTAAATTTGAATGGAACAGGTTTATCAGATGCTATAATAAAAATGAATGGCATTACTTGCAGTTAGCTTAACTAGACTTTAGGCATAGACCAAAAGAGCCTATAGTTTTTAGTCTAGTAAACAATGAGGTATTTATCTTACCAACACTCGCACAAAACAGAAAACACATATTCGACTAGTTGGATCGCGAAGACTGGGAACTTGGATCTGAGTGATCCTTCTTGTGCAGTACGTACCACACAGCTTCCAGATTCCCGAAGCATTTAACCGGTTTGCCCTGAAGTACAAATACAAAAGATTTCATCAAACAACAACAAATAACACAAAAAGGACCAGTTTTCTGCAACACGCCTGAGTTGACTCGGACTCAACAAGTTGACGAGACCAGAATTGGGTACAAAATGTACCATATATTTAACTTACACAATACTCCAGTGCGTATTTTAGCAACTCGCCCAATTAGTGTAAAACTCTGAGTGACCTTCCCAATTTGCTACACTACCCAGGCAAGTAGGAGAGTACTGCATGCTGTGAAGTTCAAAGAAGGGTCAGACTTTTTTATTTTTTTTCTTTCTTCAATTTTGAGCGTTAGGGCTGTCTATCTTGAGCCTATATTGCATCCTTAGAGAGATTGTTAGCTTGATCTAGATATTGGGCACACTAGATTTGAGAAAAACACAAGATTTGAGAGATTTTTGAAAACTTGCAATTTCGCCATAATCAATGGTCAATATTCGGTGAAAATTGATCCTTCCACCTATTTTTGTGTCCTTGATCCAACCGTAGGCTTGACTTCCACAAATAATATATTTGAATTCGGACTTACCTCATCCAAATTTTTAAGAACTCGGATCTCCTAGATCTGAGCTCGAAATCCAGAATTGGTTGGGTCTTTTGATTTGGGTTGCCTAAGCAAGCTTTGACAAAGACTGGAGGCATCAATTCGGACCAAGTATGAAAATTAAGGCATTTACCTTAAAATTTTGGGTGTGTTTCATTGTTACAATTTAAATTCATAAAATATTTTTACTTAGTAATTGATTTATACTTCATCTTATGTACATTTTCATGTTTTTATGATTTTTCTTATTTTTCCATTTTTCTGAAATTCCCTTCAGAATATCTAAATTTTGTCAAACCAATAATACCAATTTTATTGCTATTTCAATGTTCCATAAAGTTCGTTTTGGATTTGTATATTTCTTATTTTTATGATTTTCTGAAATTCTCAGACTTTTTACAATTTTTACAGATTTTTTCCCATACTTCAATTATTTTATGTCTCGATATAAGTCAGGCACGTCCAAATCGACACACCTGAATAGCTCTGATCAGGCGGGTACCGAGTATCTTGCCCGAGCCATATTTTAGTGACCACAAGAAAGGGAGAAAATGAAAGTGACCACAAATTTAAAAACCCTTTTTTTTTTTGGGTGAATAAATTCAAAAACATTCAGAACTGTAAAAAGCAAGCTTCAAGATAGCTTGGGAAACTGAACGATAGGTCCTTCAACATAAAATTGAGAATAGAAAATAGATCATAAATGACCAATATAGCAAATTTTCCAAGTATCACGGCTGCACCCATCGAGTAGGCAGTTTGGTCATTTTTAGATAAATATGTTGGTGGTATGCTATTTAATTATTTGTCCACACCATTATATCAAGACTCAGTTAGTCCAACTCAGACACGGTCGAGTCACTCGGACAGCCCTATCAAGGTTCAGGATCATAGTAAAAAAACTTGGGAACAGGCTGGGTCTCAACTGTTCCTAAGGTTTCTTTGATATTTTTTGAAGACCCGGCCAAGTCTAAGTTGCCGACTTGGACCAGACCCTTGCCGGTTGCAGGGCCAAGTAGGAGTTGAAAAACACTGGTCCAGACCCATGATAACTTAATAAAAAGAGAACTAACCTTCCAATGCTTCTTTTGAGTTACATGGTGGTCGATTGCATCTAATCGCTCAATAATGGCTCGAAATGTAGGTCGCCGTGAAGGGTTTTCATGCCAACATTCCACAATCAACCTGGATGCAGAAATATTCAACTTTCAACAGATCCATAGAATCAAGGAAAGATACTAAATGTAAAAGATTCTTATAAAGAGGAGTATCAGGAGATAGCTATTCTTTTCTCTTTTTTCCCCAGTTGCAGTTTAATAATAGGTTTTATTCTTTCCAGACTAGTCAGCCAGCCCAAGCAAGGTTGCAATTCTAGAAATGACAGATGATGGAATCACATCAACCTGATTGGATAATCTATACTACACGTGGTAGATATTTTAAAATAGGAAATATTAAGAAGTCTGACCAGTAGAAGAATATGAAGATCTATAGGCAGTTACTAAAGCATCTAGAATGATGACACAAACTCAGATGTCTGGACCTGCGTCTCATGACAAATTGGTCAAAAAACTATTTCATGTCTTGCTCAAAGTACAAAGAGGGCATTTATTTATTACGAAGCTCCACTATATTTCGAGATCTATAGACAATCACCTTGAGTGATAACAATTGTTAAACAGTGTGAGCATCAATAAGTATAACGTAATTTAGAACGTTGGCCATGCGATTCAAGATACACTCTTACCCTTAAGAACAGCAAAATATTAAACAAGCACTTACTCTTTCAAGCCATGTGGATAATGCTTGGCTGAAGCTCTAAAAGGAGGCCGCTCTTTACAAGCATATGCTTTTGGAACTTCTTCATCTGGTTTTGGAGATAGAGGTGGGCATCCTTCAATCATCTATAAGTATATACAATTACCATGTAAGGAAGATTATAGTTGTCCAGTCTTAAGGCGGGGAGACAAATATCATAAAACTCAATTTCAATCAGTAAATAAGAAAATCGTTCAAGAAAATAAGTATAACCATTTATTTAATCCCATTAAAATATATCGTCCCTAAGCCAAATAGACATTTACCTCTTGTACAATCAAAGCAAATGAGAAAACATCTACTTTTGTGTCATATGCTTCGTTAAGGAAAACCTCAGGAGCCACATACCGACCTGTTTATCAGTTAACAAAGTCTTAGTGCAAATTGGAGAGGAACAAAAATCAATCGAATGAAGCGTTCAGAAAACCAAAAACGAAATACTACCCAAGTCAATTAAAAAAAACACAACAACAATGTATTATAATATAACGACCTTGGCCTGGCCCTTGTCCCCATAGGGCCGGCGGCCTATGATTCTATCTAAGTATCAACTGAGCCAAGGCACCAGTCCAACAAATGTTGATGAAGAATAATTAACAAACACGAATCAGTGTCACAGAAGCAGCCTGTTTCAGTTATGCAAAAGCAACGACGCCTTCATCTGCATTCAGGTGCAGTGCTGAGAAATTAAAATTCTCTCTTAGGAGCAAACTGACTTTGGGGATGAGAAAGGTCTTGAAGCAATAGCAATCATTTATAATTATCACAAGGAAATGTCATTCACTAGTAACAGTGACCCTCAGCCGCAGCATAATGGACTTAATTTTCTGGGGTCCTACTAGGACACCTCTCTTGAGATTAGCATCAATCGCACATTGCATTAACTTATTAATGATAACTATAATTATCATCATCATCATCATCATCATCATCATCATCATCATTACAATCCAAGCCTTATCCCAACTATTTGGGTTCAGCTACCTAAATCTTATTTCGCCGTTCCTCTCTATCAAGGGACATACTCTCAGTCAAGCATAAGTCACCATATCTCTTCTCACTACTTCCATCAATGTCCTTTTGGGCCCTCTTTTTGCTTTTTAGAGCCTTCCACTTGAATCAAATCAACCCTTCTAACCCGGAGATTTTTTAGGTTGATGTTGCACATGGCCAGACAACCCAAATCTATTGTCCTTCATTTATAGCCTATTGGAGCTACTTCTAAGTTTCTTAGGACGTATTCATTCTGAATTCTATCATTTCTTGTCTTGCGACTCGTCCATCTTAACATCATCATCTCAACCACACTCTTATATGGATATATTGTTTCTTAACCGAACAAGATTCCATCCCATAACGCACTGCAGGTCTTATAGCCGTCCTATAGAACTTCCCCTTCAATTTCATTGGTATGCAACGAGACATTCGCATAAGACTCCAGAAGCACACCTCCACTTCATCCACTGAGCTTGAATTCTATGTGTGACATCTCCCTTACACTCTCCATTCTCATATATTATCGACCCATATATCAAAAATAAGCCCTTTTATTAATAATAATTATGTTTTTCATCGTATCTTTTATTAATACTAATTATATGTTTTAGAACTTCATAAGTTCATTAAAATACCCAGGACCTTCACAAGCAAAGCACATAATTCTTACCTCCAAAAGCAAAGCACATAATTCTTACTCCAATACAGACCTTATTCATTCTATCCCTGAAATAGATTCAGATAAGATATTGGGGAGGTGGGAACAGCAGATTGTGGAAAAGGAAAGCTTGACCATTTCTATTTTTACAACGTCCTTATGTGTGCTGGATATGGAACTTCGTAAAGTTATTCAAGATGCCTAAATTATGCTGATGTTGGTGAAGGAGCTCATCGAACCTCATTCCTGCATGGGGGACATATCGGGAAGATGTGCCCCTTGAACATGTGAAAAAACAGAGATAAAAGGCTCTTCAAGGCCACCTATATGAACTATTTGAGAGTTAGAATGTATCTAGGGACAAGGATTTGGTATTTATGGGGGACCTTAGCCTAAAAGAGTTATTTACCTTTACCAGAGCCGTAAATGGAATCTAAGTTCGGAACGTTCCCTACTTAAGACCAAAGTGGGGGTTATTTAGGCTAAACTGCAGTGGGGCATCCGTAATTTTGATCAAAGCACTAAAGGAAACTTTGGCCATACAGAACAGGAGGCTTAACTAGGGACAGCCATAAAAGGGTGGTTATCACTTTTTTGCACCAGCATGCTTTGCAATTCATCTATTGAGGCAAAAGTAAAGGCCCTGCTAATTGTTACTGGTCAAAAGGTCTTCTTCCTATTTCTCAGGTGTTAAAACCCATCACGGTCAAAGATAATTCGATGATATTGGATGGGATTATGGCAATAGAAATTAAAGAATACCATGAGGAGATCTTCAAGAGAGATGTGGAATTGTTTACCTGTTTACCTTCATCATCCATGTGTCTATAGAGGTTAATGAATTAAGTAAGAACCATTGTTTTAAAAAGCGGACCGCCCAGCACCTGGGCGGCCGCCTAGGCAGTTCAGAAAGCCTGGGCGCATCGCCCAAACCTAGGCAGCCAAATTAGGCGGATATCCCTGGGCACCCAAGAACCCGCCTAGGCATCCGCCTAAGCCCGCCCGGGCGGCCGCCCAGAGCCTGCACCCCGCCCAAGGGCGGAAATGCAGCTCTTTAAGGGTATTTTTGAGTCTTTTTTTAATACTAAAGGGAAAAATTTTGGGTTTTAGGTTCATTTGAAACCTAAAACCCATTAGAGGCTATTTTCGAGAGAGAAAACCCCAAAACAAAATTTTTTTTTACTGGGCTGCCCAGGTTTTGGGCGCCCGCCTAGGTGCCGCCTAGCACTTTTTGAAACACTTGCAAGAACCAAATTCCTTTACTTAGGAAGGAGCTCTTGAGAACTCTGTTTTTATGAGGGACACTTTTCCTCCAGAGAACACTCGTTATTTTATTTTTTTACTTCTTTTCCTTTCCTTTCTGACATACCATTTATGTTCTATCCTCATGCAACTTTGAGTAACCCACACGCATGTGCACACACACTGAGCACGTCTTTGTACACACACACACACGCACACGCACACACACAGATACAAATGTACATAGATTATTTAGGAGTGGTCACATAAATTAATATATGTATACACAACATATATTGGGTGGTTGCTCCCTACTAGGTGTTTAAGAGCCCAGACATTTGGAACGCACTGGTTCAATTTTTCCTCTTCTTCATCTCACTATATGCTCTCCAAGAGCGACCTCCAAATAAGCCTCATAGTATCTGGATCCTCATTATATGTGGCTATTTTCCCGATGGTTTTCCTGAATCTGCTTATTAGCTAATTAATCCATTATTAGCCACTTACACATGAAAAAGAATTCCCTACACTATATAATTACAATCAATAGACTACAAACTGCTATAAAATGAAGCACGTTTTGATATATAGTTACCATAAACAAAGTGTCTAAGGAGCACCTACAGCAGTGGAATTGGACAAAGCCAATAGGAATAGCCTAGAGATCACCAAGGGGACAATAATTTTGAGAGTAAAAATGCCACCCAAATAACGGGTTCCAGCAAAAATGGAACCTAACGCCACCCAAACACAATGTTCCTACAACTAAGGCTTGATACTATGACCACAACAATGGCATTACCCTTAATATTCAATGGCTTTGACTTCCCTTCCACAAAAACTTAACCATCATGCAAAACAAGCCACTGATCACCCACCTCAAGATTGTGGGTCCTAAAAACTTATCCCACCGGATCCAGGTAATCTTGTTTCCTCTAGTTGCAAAGTTGAATGGCATTGCATCTAGGAAGAATTAGGAACCAAACCTCTTTCAGTTCCACTCTTGAAGAGAAATTTCAGATATCCAACTTCCAAATAATTAAAGGTTCCCAAGACCATTACACATGCCGCAGTCCCTTCCTGAACAACCTATAAGACCAACCACAGGATGCCTAAAGCTTCAATCACTGGACTCCTTCCGGATTGCCAACCAAAATTGATTTAGACAGCATATAGATCTTATTCCAATTGAATATAATGCCATTACAAAATGACAAAAGAAAACACAAAAAGGCTCTCAAGTTTCAACTCTTGTAAACTCACTCAGTGTGGAAGATCTATGGAAACAAAATCACATCAAAAGCACAAATGACACAAACTAAACAATATGCTGGTATCTCTTATGAGAAAGATGATCAATGACACATCACATCATCCAAATAAACGAACATGAAGATGGTATTAGGAGAAAATTAGATAGTAACTTACAAGAAATGTCTTGAGATAATAGAGGTCTATCTTCTTTCACAGTGTTGGCAACTTTCAGCAGCTTACTTAGCCCAAAGTCTGCAACTTTGAGGTGTCCAGAATCATCTCGCAATATATTTCTGTTACCTTACTCGCAGTAGGTAGTGCAAAAAAGATTTTGTTATAGTTACAGACTACTCAGGTGGACAACTCAAATAACAGGTTGCCCTACATGAACTCTAAAAGCAGTACAAAAAGAATGGAAGTTGCAGACAATATCACTTACGAAGGCTCAAGATCACGATGAATTATAGCCTCTGGCTTATTTTCATGCAAATAATTCATTCCCCTACCAAATTTAGAAAAGGATATGGGAAATTAATAACTTCGGTTTAAACTCAAATACCAGGAAAATCTATATAGAGAATGAAAAATGTCACCAGTTGCATATATTGATTGAACTAAACAAAAGTTGAACAGTGCAACCAAGATCACAGAGTAATCAAAATTGCAGCTATAATTCACATCAAATGAAAAACACATAATGCAAGGTCTACCATATATTTCTGGGGATTTTAGACATCTACTATCTTCTTTGTTCTTAAGTTTCTATTGAACATTAGAAAAAGCAAAACCAAGTAACGAAGTAATGACCTTGCAATATCAAGGGCAAACTTCACTGCTTTTGATGATTTTAATGCTAGTCTCTCCTTCAAGTATGCACGAATATCACCCTGCACAACAACAGAGACCAAATAAATCAATCCCAAGAAAACTCTGTCCAATATGCCACAATTACCACACTGTCACGAATCATATGTTTATGACTCGACATAGTGCTAATCACATGGCTCTGCTCAATCACTTAGTTTCAGGGTGTCATCGGAATGCTTGGCACAAATCATATGCGTATTACTCGACCAGTCATTCAGCTTGACTATAAGGAAGACGACATAAAGTTCCATGCACTTATCTAAGAGAAACGTTTCAAGTGGGTTACAGAAATATTTTAGAAGTTCATATAGAGAAAATAGAGATTACTCTGAAAGACATTAAAAGAGCCACAATTTTGAGTTACAGAATATTTTAGAAGTTCGTATAAATAAAATAGAGATCGCACTGAAAGACATTAAAAGAGCCACAAAAGGGAAAAATCCCTAGAATCCTAATATCAGCCAAACAAACTGTTGTCACAAAGCAATTGACAGAAAATGTCATATTTAGCAGCGGATAAATGGCAATCAAGAACAAATTAGAAAGGAATTTTGCTGAATGGAATTATTAGGAGAAATTTAGAAAAAAATTGAGCAATAATCTGAACTTCATCACAAGAATGAACTCAGAGTGACATCCCATCAATGGACACAGACCTAAAAATAGTAAAAGATGAGTTGTTATTTGTTAATTTAAAACTGTCTTTTGATACGTCAAAAGTATCTTTCAATACGTCAAAAGTATCTAATGTGCTAGAATGTAGACAAAACAGTTACGTACAAATTAGAAAACCATAACAATAAAAGTTTGGTCAAACCTTAGGCAAGTATTCTGTAACAATCATCATTGGACTACTTTGAGTTACAGCACCCAGAAACTGGACCACATTTGGATGTCGTAACTTCTGCCACAGAGCAAGCTCATCCCTAAAAGCCCTCCTGTATATTTATTTTCAGGAAATGGATGAAGAAAACTCATTAAAGAAAGTCTATATCTATCAAAACACTCAAAAGTGCATCATGAGGAGACAAAAATAGAAATCATAATCCAGCAACACATTAGCCACTCACACTTTCTCCTCATCTGTAATTACATCCTCTCCTAGTTTTTTCACTGCAACTTTAGTACCCCGCCATGTTGCAATATGAAAGGTTCCCTGTAAGACTTTATACATGAGAGTGCCAAAAGCAAAAACAAGGGAGCATACTTGATATTGAAAGTCCTGATCAAACAATAGCCAACAGAGATATTGTTCGTGGAAATATATAATAGCTAAATATTTAGTTAAAATTTTAAAAATAAATAAATAAAAACTGGAAACTCATGTTAGCTTCTGTAAGGATGATATGTCCTACTTGCCCAATATTATTAAAAGAGTATTAGGCATGTTAACAAATTCAATGCAACTAATTCCATGGTGATATTCAAGTCACAAGAGCAACTGAAAACCTAGGCGGCCAAACAAAAAAAGGAATTGCAATAAAAACAACAATTTTGTACACTGTTCTGCCAAGAAACCCGCTTCTCTATCTTTTCTTTTTTTTTCTTTTTTCTTTTTTTTTGCAATAAAGGAACATGGAACTTCTTAATATTTCTTTAGAACACATTTGGATGTACTCATTATCTCTAATAATTCACCGTTTCAAGCAGATTAATCCTGATAATGAATTATCTGTTGTTTGGCAGTGTGCATTATAAAGCTATATCTAAGATAAACTTTTAGGCAGTTATAAGTTTATCTTCTTGAAAAGCTGTTTTTGCTTTATTCCAAATAATTTGCAGTAAAGCACAAGTTTTTAGCCAAAAATAGCTAAAAATAGATGAAAATCGCAATAGGGCTACATAATTAAATACTATTATATAAATATAAAGTATGTACAAAACAGCTAACAAAATAATATTAGCAATAATATATGGGTGCGGTTTGTATAGAGCCTAGGCTCTAAACAATCAAATTAGAGCCTGACTTCAAATAGTATCGAGAAATGTGGTTTC